CGTGCGAGACGCGCGGAGCATGCAAGAGGCAGGCCGAGAACTGCAATCACGTAACTTCATGCGTGACATGGCGTGGAAGATAAAAAGCTCTACTGGGTCACTAAAATTGCGAAACATGCTCTGCATTTTCGCGGGCGGGTGTCAATTATGTGTGTTCACTTTGACGCAAGAATGCATCCATCATCCAGCCATGTGCACACAAGACAAATAGGAACAGGTGGTCTCACCTTTTACTGCTAATTAATCCTCGAACATATACGTAAAGGTACATTTCCTAATCTGACTACAGTATTCATTCTCGCGAGCATCGCATGGGATTTAACTTGTATCCAGCATTATCCGTAGGCTGTAAGTAACCAGTGTGTTACCGGCAAACGTTAGGACTGCGAGATACGCGTATTTCTGGCCTCGCCAGACGAAACAAGCGAGTGTTGGTGAATCCTGGACCAGATCGGAGTACACCTATGTATCCGTAGGCCGTACAAGCTCGATTCATGATAAAGTTATCGATTTGAGGGTTATTTTTAAAAGGCAACAAGCTAAGGTTTTTTTAACTCAAAATTATAAAAATATCAATAACCTTTTTGTTCCTCGAATTACCTACTATCACGATTGGCGAACACGCCGTAATGTGTTACAAATGTGAAAAAATCCTGTTTCGCGAACTGTATTTCATACTGTCCTTCGCATGGAACTCGCGATAGTAGTCATTCACCATACATAAGTCCTAATTATCTGTGCGTGAGCGTGAAGCGGTGCCTTTGAAGTATGCTTGGGTACGGGGATCATTTTATGACAATCATCGCAAGGAACGTTTGTTCTTATGGCGAGAATTCTCCTTGCTATCACAAATAAACAAACAAGCTGTAAACTCCGTGTGTCTGTAGGACGCCAATAACTCTCAAAAACCGTCATAGGTCTTGATAAAGGCAGTCTACAGAGCCTAGCATTTCCGAGTGAGAAAGTACACGAGTAATTTTGGCAAAGGGTAACTTCTCAACACGTGCGATGTTTATGTCTGCGAATTATATGTAAGTTTCTTCGTCACTGCCGATTGCCCACTTAGCATGTGAACTGCCATGCCAAATGTTACCCAATGATTGGCCATATTTGCGAAATCAAGCTAAATATTGGCCTAATCAACCCCAACGCAAAAGCGGACCTTTATATCGAATTCTCGCAGAACCGTTTTTAAACGTACATATATTCAAACATCAAGCAGCTACCCATCTGCCACACAATTTTTTTGAAAAAAAAACTAACACCCAAAATCCTAAAGCAAATGCTTTAACATGCTACCTTCTTTGTGTAGTTTTCTTTACTTCAGTTTTGTGTGTACTACAAAATAAGTATATTGCTTGGTGATTTTGAATTCCGATAAGACTGCAATCTTCTGAGCTTTCCATGACCCTAATGCTCCTCGTACGGTACTTCACCACGAGCAACATTCTGGTAGGGACTTGATCACTTGTCTGTTTCATCTATGAGGACCAAAAGTCGGGTGGTTAAAGAGTCATCTTTATCAGGATGATGGCTTGTCAGCCATAATCACTCCGCCATAGTCAACTCTAGGTGCTGCGACACCCAAAGCTGGAACCCGCCACCAATTGGTTGTAAGTCTAAAGCTTTAACCCACTGAAACCACGGGCTCGTCCTACTGGTTTCATTTGAGCATATTAAAAATGGTAGATGGACGCTCAGCGATCGTGTTCACCTGGGGCTCAAGAGTGATCTCCAAGGCAGAGCGGGAAGAGTAATTCCGGTACTTGAGCAGTAAGGCCTTCATCCACCAATGTTAATATTCCCGATCCAAAGCGGCAGATCAGAGCGTTGGACTGGTGACGCCTAATAAGTAATTCTAGTCGCCTTTATCTTTGCCGGTCATGTTTTCGTAAAACCTTTATGGATAATGTTGTTAGGGCGGAGCTTAACTCAAAACGCACGCCGCCCCAACGACGCGAGACCACCTGTCCGCCCACATAGACAGAGCATTGTCGCGACAGCGCGGCCGGCGCGGGACCCCAACGAAAGCCAGACAACCGGACCACCCACACACAAAGTGCATTGTCTGACGTATCTGCGCTCAACTCTTGTCAAGTGGTAGACTAACATGCCAACTCTCATGACTCACCCAGCCAATGAAGTCATGCCTTT